GTCGATTTTTACAAAGCTCATCGCTCTGAAAAGCGAGGTGTGCTGTGATTGGCCAGCTATCCAGTGCGTTGTGATTGGCCGAATACCTCAAGTGTGTGACCGAAATGTTATGCACCATACTGTCAGGCCGTGTCCCGGAGCGACGATTCAAAAAAACATTAAAACCCATTATAAACTAGACATTTGTTGCATCCAGGCGTTGCGTTGCATTGCATCGACACAACGGCAGGTTTATTAGCTTATACTACATTAGGAAGTAAGCTTTGAGGTCCATAATTATTCACATTGTGGCATTATTTTCCTTTTTTTTCCCCAAACAAAGTAGTTTCGCTTTCACAACGAGAAACACAGTGCCTTCACAACAATACTACAGCGAGAATAGAAGTTACGCCTTCTTTCTTTGCGTGAACATTTGGGCAGTGTTATGCAAATCTTCCCACATCGTGACGTAGACATGTGGGGGCGTGTTAGAACGAGCCGTTTTAGGTAGGCGTGGTTGACTCTTAACTTTTATAAAGAATATCTCTTTGGATTTGAGAATTTAGTCTTTGCAACTTTACAGATTTTCTTTATGCACCAAGAGCTTGTAACACTTCAAAGAGGAAGTAAAGATTGAAATCGCATCATATGACCCCTTTAAGACATTCCTGTTCATCTTTATTTAGCTTTATTTTGAGGTTATTGTTTTCCTGGAGGATAAATCCTCCATCACAGGTATCTTGTAGGCTCTCAGGTTTTGCTTCAGGATTACTCTGTATTTTGCTGTATTCCTTTTACCCTCTCAAGCCTTCTAGGTGTACACAGAATTGTCTTTCAAGTATGATGCTGCAACCGCAGTGTTTTTCCCACTCAGTTTAATGGCTTGTGCCAAACATTAGTATGATAGCCAAAAATCTATTTTACTCTCATCAGACCACAGAACCTTCTTCCAGCTGTCCTCAGTGTCTCCCACATCCTGGCAAACTGTAGCAGAGACATCATGTGGCATTGCTGAACAGTGGCTTTTCTCTTTGCCACTCTCTGCTAAAGCACCTGGGCAAGCGCTGAAGCTTGAAACTTCTTCAGAGCTGTCATTGGTCTCTAGGTGGTCTCTCCTAGCGGTCTCTTTCTTACACTCATTTTAATCGTTCTCCAATAGATATTCACTGGCTTGGAAATATTCTTGTGTCCATCCCTTGACTTGTGCTTTTCAGTTTACAGAGCTGCTTGGAGCGGTTTCAGGAGTGTTTCTCTCTCTCTCTCTCTCTCTCTCTCTCTCTCTCTCTCTTCATGGCCAGTTTTGGCACAGTAGTGACTCACCGGAAGTTGGGCTGTCCAGACACTTGTGTATTAATTTATAAGATGTCAGAGAGTATTTATGTGTATTGCATTAAAGGGGGTGAATATTTATCACCATCCAAACACTACCATTCGAAAGTTCGGGGTCAGTATTTTATTTTATTTTTTCTCGGTGACGTCAAAATGCCAAGGTTGAATTTATTTGATTAAATTTACAGTAAAAACAGTAATATTGTGAAATATTATTGCAATTTAAAATAACAGTTTTCTATTCATTTTAAAATGTAATTTATTGCTGTGATGACAGCTGAATTTTCAGCAGCCATTAATTCAGTCTTAAGTGTCAAATGATCCTTCAGAATGTATTCTAATATGTTTATTTGTTAATATTTGGAAACATTTCATCGTATCAATGTTAAAAACAATTGTTCTGCTTACATTTTTGTGGAAACCATGATGTATTTTTTCAGGACTCTTTAAACAGAAGGATCAAAAAAAACTTTTGTAAATTTTTTGTGTCAAATGTCTTTACTGTCATTTTTGATCCTTGATAAAATGTATTAATTTCTTTAAAAAAAAAAAAAACATTCTGACCCCAAACTTTTAAGCAGTCCTTTGTTTTAGAGCTCTATTAATAGTTCAGTGTTGTAAAATGCATGTGAAACATTTCTCTCGTGACACAAATGTGAGGAACAAAATCGCAATGACAAATTTTTGTGACCAGTGCCACTTTTCTGAGAGATTGAAACTGGCATCTTGTATGTGATGCTGCCAGTGACACAATTTCGTGTGCTGTTTGTCACAAATACATTAAATATACACTTCAGTTATATCAGAAAGAGAAGGAAGAAATCAAAAGAGATAAGTGTCTCTCTGGTTTTGTTCCTCTGTTATCTAGAGCAGTGGTTGATCTTAAAATGTTCTGACTGTTGCTTTTTCACCATTAGGCTTAGAAAAGGCCAAGCAAGCTGACTGCAACATCTGAAGGAACATAAACCAGTTTAATTCAGTTTCGTGATGCTTTTCTTTATACATGTGCCCTAAAATGTAAGGTTACCATGCCCAAACAGAATTGTTTTTTTGTCTTATTAGTCAATCGGCAAAACAAGATTTCTCATGAATATTAGTTTTAGCTTCTTTACAGTAAGAAGCCTATCGTTTCTGAGATCTTGACTGTGTAATAGTGGGGAAACAGCCATTCTATATGTGTGTTGTCTTGTGAATGTTCAGTTGTGTATATATGTGTCTGTGCGACGTGTTTATCTTTTGAGGAGGGTTTCTGTGCTGTACTCGTGTTGAAGAATCAGGAGGCACCACATCTGTTTCAAATCTAATGAACCAATATTATGTTTGCAGTCAAAACAGGTTTGGTCTTTTCACACAGTGCTGACTGTACCCCCCTCTCACGCTTGTTATTTCCACATATTAACCTTTCTTCTCTCTCTTTCTCTGATGGGCAGATCACTGGTGGAAGATGATGATGCTCAGATGATGAAGGTGTCGCTGGGATGCAGTGAAATGGGGCTTTCCTCCCACTTGCAGGCCTCAAAAACAGGAAACACACGCTTCTTTACCAGCAACACACACAGCTCTGTGGTTTTACAGGTGAGTGTGTGTGATTACATATGTCTCTTACTAAATGTCAGGGCGGGTGTGTGGGGTGTCACCATCTGCCATTCCGGCATCATATCACACGTGAGAGTTTGTGTGGGTGTGTGGGTGTGTGTGTTTGGAAGAGACTGTGAAGGTCATCTCTGCTGTTTCTGGCAGTCAGGCTTTAGTTCACACATAAAGATGATAATATTATGATCATCATCCTCATTGGTGGTGGGCTCAGTCCTGCCTGAAGTCCAAGAGAACCTTCATTAGCACCTACCTGCGGGTCACCTGACAAGTGTCAGCATGTGCTTGTGTGGGAACAAAGGTGAGAATTTAATTGGAATTTGCCAGTAAGTCATTGCAGACAGATCAATAAGTAAAGGTCACCTGATTCCCTTTGTTTGTGTGCATCTGTTCATATTTATTTAACCCTCTCTGATGCATGATGTCCTCTTCAGTGGACTATTTTTATGTAATAATATGTCAGTTTAAAACTAAGCGAGCCATTGTAATAATGGCCATATTTCTAATATTAATTATAATTCGAAATGATATCCAGTGTACAAACAGTGGCACTATCAGAACATTTGTTTTTTGTTTTTCTGTTTTTTGACCAGCAGACAGGAACATTTTTGATAAATCACACACTTCTCTTCACATGCTTAGACTGGTCTGTGAGGGGGGAAAAAATTTTTTTTCCCCAAAAGCATCTTTTTGCAAAAGATACTTTTTTTGCTGTATTATTTATCAAATAAATGCAGCCTTGGTGAGACGACTTTTAAAAACATTGAAAAATCTTATCGGCCCCAAACTTTTGAACAGTAGTGTAGGTTCACTGTGTGTTTACATGGGATAAGAGTGTATATACGTGCGTGTACACACAGACAAATTCATGTATTGCTTGATTTCTAGATGTCATTAGCACTGACAATTTATATTGACGTGATGAGGTCACTCTATTGATTCCTCCTATCACAATGTCATTGACAGCTGTCATTCATCACTTGATCGCCATTCAGCCTGAAATCAGCTACTGCTGTTAGAGGAGGTGAATTGTGTTTAAATGAACTTCAAATGGCAGTTTATTAAGATCGAATCAGTTTGTTAAATCAGAATACCACAGATAAACAATATTTGAAAGAAGCTGAAGTTGAAGACAGCCGCTCTGAGATCATGACTTAATTTCAATTTAAATCGGTCACATGACACATGTGTCCTAAAGCACAGCAGCCCTCATCACCCTGCAATATCACTAACCGCTGGAAAAATGATTTGATTCATTCCAGTGATTTGTTGGGAAACAACACTCAGTTCATTTGATTGGATATTTATCCCCAGGCTCTGTGTGTCCTCACATACCTCACATACACAGAATGAGAGTTTTAGCAGAGGAACCAGGTTTAGTGTGTGTTTTAGCACGTTTTGTGTTGTACATCCATTCATTTTGTAAAAAAGCTGCAAATTTGTGCTGACAAAACATCACAATTAATCGTTATAGACCTTTTCTATTTGTATTTTTTTATTTTAATATTGTCATCATAATAATGATATTAATGTAAAAAAAAGTATTATTTTTGAAATATTATTTTAATATAAATTATTCCATAGTGACACAATAAACATATAGCTCACACACACTTACACAAAGTGTTTGTTAATGTAGACGCCTCAACAAAAAATGCTTTTACTGTCATATTAGATGCAGCGTTGTTATCTTCTACATTTTGCATTTAGACATTTAGCAGACGCTTTTATCCAAAGCGACTTATGAACGAGGCACAAGCAAAGCTTTTAGTTTTTGATTTTATCAGACGCTGATGTTATGAGGCAGGTAAAGACAGCCTGTTGGCTTTTCCACGTTTATCGAGGCATATCTGTTAAACTCCAGCTCAGAGTGTGTAGTATAGTGTTTGGCGCTTAAAAAGCTTATGTGTAATTTCGGTGAGTGCAGCACTGATTGGATTGTGCCTTATTTCATGTCCTATCACATGCTTGGCATTTGCTTTTGCACATGCTGCTGTATTGAGCCTGACACAGCGGCTCGGAGAGTGTGCGTGCAAGTGGACGATGGCTCTGTCCTGTTAATTATGGCTCGTCTGTGCCGTGGGAGCCCATCTCTGCTGCAGTCCCCTCATGCATCTGACCTCCTGTTCGTTAATTAACCCCACAATCTTTTATTCAGAAATTATGCTCATGGGACACATAGTAACGATACAGCTCCTTAACATTCACACTCTGTTTTCATGGGTGATAACAACAGATGCTTTAGTGTTTTTTTGTTCTTTTTTTATCTCAAGACCATTTCGGTCAATCTCTTTCCTCCTTCTCATTAAGTGCATTACTGAAATGCTCGTCAGTCCTCTCACTTCCTCTGTTTTATTTTCTTCCCTCTGTCTCTCAGGGTTTTGACCAGTTGAGGATTGAGGGCCTGCTTTGTGATGTCACGTTGGTGGCGGGAGATGGGGATGAGGCATTTCCTGTTCACCGAGCCATGATGGCCTCCTCCAGCGACTACTTTAAAGCCATGTTTACAGGTGAGTGAGAGAACAAGACATGGGATAAAAAAGGATTAGGTGAGGTGAAGCCAAGTTTCCAGGTGAGGAAGGGATAAAGGAAAGAAGAAGAAAAAAATGAGGTGTTTTGGGACCGAGAGGTCAAAGTTTGACAGAAGAGAAAGAGAAGAGAGACTCCAGTTAAGTTATTAATAAACAGACAATGTTGATGCACTAATCAGTTATACTGGATTGTTTTTGTTTGTGTTTAGTACTGTCACTTTAAAGTCCCTATGAAATCAAAATTAAAGTTTTTTGGGTGTTAGTATCAATATGTTAGTCTTAAGGTTATCTATAAGGCAGTGTGCTCCAAAACAGTGACAAAATTTGCATTTAGAAGATATAAGCATTCAAAGCTTGCAGTTCGTCACTTCCGCCAAAACGGCTCAACTATTTTTTTGACATCACATCGTACTTCAGCTTCTCATCAAACTTTCTGTCCAATCAAATGCTCTCTAGAATCCGAAGCGCCCGCCCCCTACACTATAAAATAGACGCTGAAGCCGCGGCTGAAATCGGTCACTTGTCCACAGAATTAGTATTTTCTGTACAGTGAATGGCACGTATTGCACAATATAGGGGACAGGGAACGATTCAAACAGTGTAAATATGCTTTCCATTGAGGAAAAAAAGAAGTCTGGTTTCGCGCTGTCACACTAACCACCGCACACACACTCTGCTCCGGTCCAGAGACACGATAGCACGGAGCGGATCACATGAGCGAGTCGGCGCCTACCACAAAATGTATCGGAGCTATTTAAATTCTACACAGAATGCTATATTTATGTATATATATATATATATTCTTTTTTTAGTTCGTTAATCATGTAAATATCAGTAACATGTCAGTCTCATTTAGTCACACCAGAGACTTCCATCAGAGCTCAGAATGTTCCTGATTCTCCCTCAATTTACCCCCTCCCTCACTCGCCCTCTCTCTCTCTCAGAAGCGCACTCTGTTTCTTGGGAAGAAAGAACAAAGCAAGAGAGGTGAAAAAAGATAAGAAAGCAAGGGATTTGCTCTGGGTTATTTGGGAAAGCATGTTCAGAGATAATCTGTTCGATGGAAAGGACTTCATTTCGTTATTTGAATTGAGTTCAGCTATTCCCTAAATAATTATGCCATTTAATACTGCATACTACCAAATCCCGGATTAATTTTTTACACAAAACTATTATGAGAGAGCACTAAAACAATTATAAAGAAGCAGTGTGCCCAGGGAATCCTCTTTCTGCAGGCTTACACCATTTCCTAACTAGAGCTGGGGGAAAATCGGTTTATCGATGCATCATGATCCTGAATCAGTCCAATGTATGAGCACTTAGTTGCTTAGCGATTCACTACACACTGCCGTTCAAAAGTTTAGATCAGTAAGAATGAATATGCTTATTATAAATGTTTATTTGTTTGTTTATTTATTTAATAAGGGACAATACACATTAATAATAAATAACATTTAAAATGTGTTTTAGGGGGGTGTGGCTGACTCTTAACTTTTATAAAGAATATCTCTTTGGATTTGAGACTTTAGTCTTTACAACTTTACAGATCTTCTTTATGCACCAAGAGCTTGTAACACTCCAAAGAGAAAGGAAAAAATGAAATTGCATCATATGACCCCTTTAATTATTAAAACCATGGTGGTATGAGCACTTAGTTGTTTAGCGATTCACTACACACTGCCGTTCAAAAGTTTAGATCAGTAAGAATGAATATGCTTATTATAAATGTTTATTTGTTTGTTTATTTATTTAATAAGGGACAATACACATTAATAATAAATAACATTTAAAATGTGTCGGATTTAGCCAAATTGGCTAATTTTCATCAGTAGTCCCTTGGCAGATTGATGTTAAAGACGATGAAAACAGCAGACAAAATATTCTTTTAACACAAAAAGAATTAAGAAACTGCAAAATCTCTACAAATGGTCACAATTTTGTTACAACAGTAAACACATTTTCAGCTTTCTAGAGAAACCACAAGTACCTGTAATATAACTCCTTTAACTCTGGCAGAAGTCTATTCCAGTCATGTGTTCCTCTAAAAGCAAATAATAACTGGCCAAAAGGCAGAGTAAAAATATTTATAATGTTACAAAAGATTTCTGTTTTAAAAATAGAAACACAAAAATATTAAGTAGCACCGCTGTTTTCGACATTGATAATAAGAAACGTTCTTGAACACCAATCACAGAATGATTTCTGAATGACCATATGAATCTGAAAATGACTGCTGATAATTCAGCTTTGCCATAACAAGAATAAATTACTTTTTTTTTAGACAAGTTTTTGTCCTAAATAGTCAGGACATTTTGTTGATTGCATGGTTTCTATTTCTACAATATCGAGGCAGTTAGCCATGCACTCCAAATCTAACTGATCCAAAATTCAGTTCCTGATAATGTCGCAATAATCATTAAATATCTTCTAAATAGCTGTGCTAAATTGTCAGGACGTGCATTTTGCATTCTGCACAAACACACAGATCGTCTTTTGATTGTGTATGGAATGTGTATATAGTAGGGATGTGCATCTCCATAACTGAGGGTGATGCGATACGTATCTTGATGCATAGCCATCGATATGATACATTAAAGTTACATATGAAGCAGCTACCGATGCGATACGATTCACCCCATTACGATGCAGTGCGATCCGATTTAGATTCGATTCAATGCAATATGATGCTATGCAATTCAATATGGTACAGATAGTTCGCAAATCACGTTCAGACAGACAGCAAGTCATTAATTAACTCAAGTGCCTTCTGACTTCTAATGCCTCGGTCTCCGTAGTGTTGTGATATGTCATATTCACGTAGCAGCAGTGGTGATGAGAGAACGCGCTTGAGAAACTGTTTAGAGAGGAGAAATCAATCTACATATAAAATATTGGTCACAAATTATTGGTCACTTTCTAAATAATAAAAGTATAGCACATCTAGATAAATCGTTTTTTTACCAATGCATATATGTTAGAAATGATGCATCGCGATACAAATGCCAACTTGGATCCAGTGCATACTTTTTAAAATCAGTGCATCGCATCGTTAACTTTAATACCGATGCACTGATGCGAATCTGTGAATCTTACCATCCCTAGTATGTAGCTGAGAAATGTGCTGTATCTGTTATCTTATAAAAGGTCAGTAGATTTTATAAGCCCATCAAAGTCCTGCTCATGCATGTGTGCCATGAGCATTTAAGCACTGCAAGACTTCCATAATTGCTGTCTGTATTACTTTCTTTCATTCTCCCCTTGTGTTCTGCTTATCCCTTTTGCTCTTGTTCTCTCTCGCTTTCCTTCTCTCTTTCTCCATCTCAGCATAGTTGAGAAATCACATCTGAACTAATGAAAGTGGTTTGATTTATTTCAAACGTGGCTCTTGAATAAGTGGCTCATTATCATGGTAAAGAGAATTGGTGACAGCTTGCAGTGAGACTCGCTTATCTTCTCTCTTATTTCCTCTTTCTCTCGTTCTCCTTATTGTTTCTGTCACTCTCCCCTCTCTGCCTTTGATCCGCTAATTTGCAACGTTTTTTGCCAATCCCTCCCCCATTCTTTTCTTCCTCATTCTTTTCATCTGCTTTTCCCCTTTTTTATATCTGTTTTGCTTGAATATTTCTTTGCACTGATTTTCTCTTGCTTTCATCTCCTCCCTCCGTCATCTTTTCATCTCTTTCTCTTTTTTTTTCCCCCAGGTGGAATGAAAGAGCAGGATTTGATGTGTATAAAGCTGCATGGCGTGAATCGAATAGGGCTAAAGAAGATTATAGACTTCATTTACACCGCCAAACTCTCTCTCAACATGGAGAACCTACAGGACACCCTAGAGGCTGCTAGCTTTCTCCAGATCCTGCCTGTCCTTGACTTCTGCAAAGTCTTTCTCATTTCTGGGGTAGGACACTGTTCAAACCATTTCAAATGAGAATGCTCTAATGTACTTTGTAGTATTAACACACAGTTCTTACCCCCTCTTAGGTGTCACTGGACAACTGTGTGGAGGTGGGGCGCATCGCCAACGCCTACAACCTCACAGAGGTGGACAAATACGTCAACAAATTTATCCTAAAGAATTTCCCCTCGCTACTCGGCACCGGCGAGTTTGTCAAACTTCCATTCGAACGTCTAGCGTTTGTGCTCTCCTCCAACAGTCTAAAACACTGCAGTGAGCTGGACCTGTTCAAGTCTGCATGCCGCTGGTTACGCTACGAAGAAGGCCGCATGGAATACGCCGCCAAGCTAATGCGCAATATCCGATTCCCCCTCATGAGTCCAACAGAACTCATAAACCACGTACAGACTGTCGACTTCATGCGTACGGACAATACCTGTGTTAATCTTTTATTAGAAGCCAGCAACTACCAGATGATGCCATACATGCAGCCGGTGATGCAGTCGGAACGAACTATGATCCGTTCAGACAATACCCATTTAGTGACGCTAGGGGGCGTGCTACGGCAACAGCTGGTTGTAAGTAAAGAGTTGCGACTTTTTGACGAGAAAGCACATGAATGGAAGGCACTGGCACCCATGGACGCCCCGCGCTACCAGCACGGGATCGCAGTGATCGGGAACTTTTTGTATGTGGTCGGGGGACAGAGTAACTATGACACGAAAGGAAAAACAGCTGTGGATACCGTGTTTCGATACGACCCAAGATATAACAAGTGGATTCAGGTGGCGTGTCTGAATGAGAAGAGGACCTTCTTTCATCTGAGCGCTCTCAAAGGACATCTATATGCGGTGGGCGGGAGAAACGCTGCAGGAGAGCTGGGTGAGTCAGCAAGGGATTTAAGTGTCACAGCAGGGGACAGATTTCCAAGGGACACGCTGTGCTTCAGTTGTTGGCATGTTTTGTAAATATAACATTAATAGGTGTCTTGCAGTGCTAATTATGTGTGGATGCAAAAAAAAAATTGAAATGCTAAAAAGATCTTGGTATTTTTGGTTGGTCCTAATTATAGAAAGATTTGACTTGATGCTGAAGGAGAGCTGGTTTGTCAGCAGTGCTGCCCACTAAGGGGTGTTGCTAATCATGTCAGTGTCAACTGGTGGGCCGTGACTCAAAATACTTTCGTCACTTCTGTAGAAGCTAGCATAATTAGGCAGATACCAACATGAACAGGTTACTAGACATTGCCTCCACCTTCAGAACCATGGACAAATTTACACAAGATCAAAAATTACAACCCAGACTAAATTAAATATTGGTTTACATGCAGTGAGGATATACATGGTTTGTGCTGACACCATTGTGTTTTGTGATGCGAGTTATTGAATGTTATGAGTTTGACACTACCAAAATTTAACTTGCGTGTAAAAATGTAACTGAAGTAGCAGCAGATCATTTCTTAAATGTAGAGCGCAGTCTTGGTTCTATACATCAGTTGTTCATTGAATTAACGCAGATCTGAATGCGAGCTTGCAGTGGATCAGAGCAGAGAAGGCTGTCATATCACCGGAAGATTGAGCTATGACATTTAGATGAAACATTTTTACTTAAAGTAAATAAATAAATGTATGCATGGATGAATTGTTCACAATAAGATCAGAAAGATGCATTTAAAAAATATACGGGGTGATTTTCCATATGTTGCTGACGGTCAATTTTCATATTGAGCCTTCATCATGAAAATAACTTTACTACATATCGTTGGGCATATGTGGTTTACTGTAGTATTAATATATTTTAATGTTTTTTTTAAAGGATATTGTTGTTTGATCATTTGGAACATATAAAAATGAAATCCCAACGTAAATTAGATCATTCCAGGCTACAGAAGTTTGGGTGCCCCCGAAAACAACAAAGTGAGGAACCGTGAAACTCAAAAACTAATTGTCATTGCCACAAAAAGCTTTCAGCAAAAATATTAATAGTATACAGGATTTTAGTATACTCTGTTTTAGCACTGTTTGCTTTATAGTCTTTATTCCACCAGCTATGGTTGTATGTCTGCGTCAGGTAAAGGTGGAGCTTAACCACCTTAGAGATGATAGTTCTCACAGGGTGAATGCCCCAGTGGATCGTGGGTAATTAAAATGCAGGGGCAGCTCCACATAGCAGAACATAGAGTGCAAACACATCAATGCCCCCACAACCAAAAATGACCTTCCCATCATCCACAGCAATGCTCCTCATTACTATACACAAACACACAGACCAGATATATACAGCACCTCAAAATTGACAGGAAAGAGACAAATACACAACCACACAGATGTCACACTACAGAGGTTAGATAATGGACTCTGACACGCTCACTTCCACAGTGAGACAAAAAAAACTTACTTACAGTCCTCTGCATACAATTTACATGGACTCACACACACTGGCCTTTCTCATGTTTATCCGATGACGTTCAAGCCCCTTGTTTCTATAGCGACCACTGTCATTTATTGCTTTGAGTTGAATTTAAACTTTTTACACCATACTGTTTGAGGACTTTGCCTGCTGTCTAGTAATACTGCCCAGTGTGTTTGAATGTCACTCTCAGTACAAGATTTGCAGGAACTGCAGTTAAATACGAATGACAAGTGATCGATTTTAAAAGCTACATAACCCAGATAACTGGTGATGTGGCCTCATATCCAAAAAATATACAAAAGACACAGGCTCTCAAAAAAAATTACAAATTCAGCATCCGATTATTAGGAATTATTACATAGATGCAGAATGACAAATTATGCAGTGTTTTTAAATAAAAAAAATTAGGTGATCTGTTATTATAAATGTAGACTGACAGATCCTGATGAATGTGGATGTATGGGGTTGTGAAGACTGAGTGAATGAATGTTGTGCATGTGATATTTATGATCATAATTTACTGATTTTGCCTTTTGAAAGCTCTGAGAGTTGTATTTTTGTGTCGGTCAGAACAGACACAGACTCTCCTGTTGACGATCATTATTGGAAATCAGGCTGTCTGTATTAAATATAGTGTGCTGTATATTACTGTAATGAACAATCTTAGACCACCGATTTTGCTTTTTGGCAATTCACTTGAAAAGCCAACCACATCAGTTTTAGAAAAAACCTTGAACAAATAGGTAGAAACTTTATGTACACAATGAGCTTATGCTGTTGTGAAGTATGATGAACAAATGGGCTCCCATCTTTACTTTAAATACCCATAATTATGTTGTGATAATTATGATATGATATCAGTGTGAGAGTCATAAACCTCCACTGCTCTGTTTCAGACCGCTCATTTTCCACCTGCTGTTGTTTAGGATTTTACATGCAGTTGGTTTAATAAACATGGAGAAGGTATATTTTATGTAGTCACAGTTTATTACCCTTCTATCTTTTAGCCAGAAGACAGACTCTGCATTAAGTGCTTGTTCTGTGATTGGTTCATCATCTCTGTGGCCGAGTGACTGTGAACCAATATTAATGGTCATCAGAATCTAAACTTGCATCTGTTCGGTGTGCTGTGAAAGTACACTAGTTTGGTTGTGTATAATTGAGCACTAAAGCACAGTGGCGGCTTGTGGGTTTTAAAATAGAGGAGGCACACTAATTGTATTAGTCTGGGATCCCTGCTGATTATTATTATTATTATTATTATTTGCTTAACCACTTTAAAACGGCTTTTTGGTTGCTTTTAGTCAGAAAACGTAAAGAAAACGACATACATACAGGAAGATAATATAATTTCACTTACCTGGCCTATCACTTGAAGCAAACATCCATTCCTTCTTAAAAGTCATTATCAGCGCAGCAGGAGACGTTCAAACTAATATCACGTAATTTACGTCTCTTTGATGATTGGTTGATATCAGAAGGGAGGCTAGCCTCCCTTGC